CCCCCTCCTCCTCCTTCTGACCCGTTATGGTGTTGTTGGTCAAAATCCTGGCCAAGTGTTTGTTGTGGGCCAGGGGATCTGGTGATACGCCTAATTGCGGTTTCGGCCCTGCCGGCCATTAACGCTCTCTCCCGCCTCCGGTGTTCTTGACTACGTCTTGACACCGGGCCCAAATGGGGGAGGAGAGGGTGCGGTAGATGCTTCGCAAGTCATTCTATCATGGTAAGGATGCGCAACAAGGCACGACTCCCAGACTACGGTCGTCCTGAGATAGCAACCATAGCAAATCACAGGAGGTTGTCAATGCGGGTTTATTGAAGTTGGTCGGCGCGCTCCTTTATTTTGAAATCATATAGTGAGAACTGTCTTAAAAAAGTACAGTTTTAAGGCAAGAATGTTGCGAAAGGTGCAGCGGTCGATTGCAAACTCTAATGGAGCCCCTGGATAGAGAAGATTGTATTTGGATCGATGAGTCATATTTTGGACAGTGAGGGGTTGGCGATAAGTCTGGATTTGGAGGTCAAAAGGGCAACCACTCTGATCAAGGAAGAGGATGATGCATCGATATTCTGGTCGCCGTCTGGAGCCCAGTTAAAGAGCGGTCCACTTTTCCCCGATAGATTTGTGCTACTTGGATAAAGGACGATCGCATCTACTTTCGATGGTGCACAATCTGCTGGGGTCTATTTTGCCACGATGATAACTCGGTGGCTCAATTCTGCCCCATCGCTCTTGGATTAGAAGATTTCACATGGCATCAGATGCCGCTCATGGCTGGCTGGGTCTCCTCAGTTAAATACAAATTAGCGTGTTCCAGTAGCGACTTCAACGAATGATTCCCAAAACACTATAACTTTAAACATCTTTCCAACTAAGGCCACATGTTGTTAATGTCTGAAATATGATATAAATGACAAAGTTCCCACTCCAACATGATGAGATGATTTGAAGCTCTGATTGTGCTTAACAGTGAGTTTGTTCGATAGTGCTGAACGAGGTGACCCTTCCCCTTGGCTTTCACTCAACTTGTTTTGAAGTTTATTTTTAGAAAATACGTCCAGTTTAAAACTCAACATCTGACTGCTTCTCACATATTTAGGACACTTCTTTGGGGAGGGAGGGGTTCATTTTTGCCAGCAATTAATGTGCGTGACATCATTAATAAGCAATTTATGTATGTGAGCATATCGACAGAGCGTAAATACTGGCTGTGTTGATCTACATTATGCCGGTTTTGCGCGCCTGTCACCTTACTGTGGTCTCAGTATGACCTCATTATCAACTGGCGCTGAGTTCGCGTATCTGGTTTACTGAGCACCTTCAGATTACTCGAAATCTCAGCACGATCAATCTACCTGCCACACATCAAAATACCACAATCACTGAAGAAACCCCTCCCACCAGGGCTCACTCAACCCTCACATTTTAGTCTTGGTCTTTTCCGGTGGAACACTTTTAAGGAACAGCATTAAGAAATAACAGCGATTCCAGCTAAGAGGCACCCTGTTCTCTGCACGTTTCCTCATGAATTACTGTGTCAGTAGTCAACCACTTACTAGTAAATATATCAGATATACTGTCGGACTAAGGCTTTATCATTAGACGGACTGCATTCAGTCAAGCCAAGTCCTCTATCAGTACAAAACGACGAGCATAAATGACTTTGCTGTTGAAAACGGACTCATTACAAGCAGTCGATAGATTATAAATCAGTGTTCCACTGACCAGCATGTATGGTCATTTTTTGTTCTGCTTAGTCTTCCTGACCGCTTTTTTGCTACGAAATTAAAGCAACAATAATCGGTTATACGTACAATCTCCTCTTGCTTAGTTGTACCAAACTAACAAGCAGTTTTGCTTTGACCGTCTAACCATCACTCCACAAACTGGAATAATTTGCCGAGGACGACCAATTTATGATTGACGTTATCTGGTTTTCGTACTTCAGATCAATTTCGTCTTCTTTCAACTACTATTCTTCCTGATCTCGACTTGGTCGAATATGCAAATGCACTTCAGATCCTAGGCATGTACATGCCGCAGCACTTAAAATACAGTCTGTGTACGCCCTCTTCTCCCATATCTTGGGAACGACAGACATTCCTATCACAATTTAATCGAGGCAACGTTACCTTTGTCACCCACCTTTTTGGTATTCCCCTGTCAGTGTTGGCGACGAAGTAAAGACTATACTTCTATGTTCGGATTTGAGAACAAAGAACATTCAAATTGTGTCAAGTGTCCTAGGTCGAACTATGGCTTTCAAAATAATTAAAAACCCACTGGTTGTTTCGTCAGGCAACAGAGCAGTCCAAGCTCTCCCTGACTATCCTTCACTCACCAAGTTTTCTTTCAGTATTTTCATGAATTCGAGACTGATTCTGACTGTTGAAATTACTAGTGAACTTCTTTGTTCAAATACTACTGTAATGAGTATTCTGTACTTCCGGCATCTCTTCCTGTCAAAGTATGAGCAATATTTAGCGTGATTTCGAACTGCCTAAAGAATTTTCAGACTACCAGGTTTTGATTATTGCAGTCATTTAACAAAATATTTTTTCTACCTTTGGCTTCCATGATCGAACTGTTTGAAATGTAGGCGGACTTTTTCTCGCCTGCAAAGTTGGCTGTCAGCAATTTTGCCCTTGTCATAGCGGACAGGGAGCTTTGTACACAGGTCAGTAAATGGCTATAGGCTGCGATAGTGCAAGTGGACTAGTCGTCGATGGCCAACTTCTGATTATCATCAACCAGCATCGGCTTCTTTTTGACACCTAGCTCGTCTTTTCGCTTTAGTTCAGTAGCTCTGCCCTTAGAAGCGAGCTATGAGGTCGCAATGTTGTCATCAGCACTCATGACCTAAGAAATCTAGATCAACACCTGAGATGGTCAAGTTCTTTGGAGTCACTGTTGAGAGCAAAAATTTTCTAGACAATTTTGACATGTGGCAGTGTAGACTGAATCTGCACGGGTTGATCTATACTTAGATGAAGGGACGAATGAGAATCCCTCAAACCACATCCACCTATATTACGTACTTATTTTATTTAAGTAGTTTGGTATACACTTGCGAAAATATCAATGTCTTGCTAACGTAAAAGTTGTTTTGCGCTAAGGGAATAGTAAAAAGAGTAGAACACAGGAAGAGGGGACCTTCCCGCTAGTACAGATGGCCTTAAGTCAAATTTGAGGGGGATTAGAGTTCAGGTTAGGATTATGGACTGCGTCAGCGTTGTGATTAGGGTTAGAACATGTGAATGGGCACTCTCTCGAATTTAACTTACAGCCACCCGTATTACGATGGTCCTATTCCCGTGTCTTACTATAAAAACTATAGTTGCGCTGAATGTTTTAATGTGGCAGTCAGCCATCAAACAAATCCCTCTTTATTTGAGTAGAAAGAACCGAAGATTTTGGTTATTGTACGTGAGCCTACTTAGGTCAGATAAGTGGATGGTGTGTATGAAAAGTGGTTCACATGGTTCCCTTTCGTGTGCCTTACCGCTGAAATATTATCCTCATTAAGTATGTCCATCAGAGATTTCACAGGTCCCATGGGGGTATGTCAATGGACGCCCAGAATGTTCGACAGCAAGCTTTTATAACTAAAAGTAAGTTTGATCTGAGTTTTCGTTTTCATCGATACCGTACTCTAATCAAATATTTAATTCTTGCCCGCCATGAAGCCTCTACCAAAGATAGCAAAGGACTCGTCGAGTTACCCGCATGTCATCACCTTCAACGGGAGTCATCGGCTAGTGACGAAGGGAACGAGGGTCGAAGCACGGCAAAAGTCACCGTTGCTGCGAAAAGACCCCGATCTGCCTACTCCAGTGTACAGTTAGTAGAACTGGAGAAGGAATTTCATTTCTCCAACTACCTCAGTCAACAACGACGTAAAGAACTGGCGCGGGAGCTGAAACTCTCTGAGCGACAGATCAAAATCTGGTTCCAGAACAGACGGATGAAGCTGAAGAAGGAAGCAAAGGAGGCCAGACAGGCGCGACTCCGGTAAGTCGGTATAAGCAGGCATGACGAGTTGGAGTCACTCTTTTAGTGAAAAAAAAATAAGTACACGTTGTGACTATATTCAACCTGCTCACAAATGATGGGAGGAGAGCAGCAGAAATGCGTTGATCGATTGAAGAGGAAACGTGAGTGATCTGACAGAAAGAGAGTGATAGTTCCGGGAATATACTTTGTTCTGGATAATAGTACACTTGTTCGAATATAAACTTCGGGGGGATAATGAGTGATGCCATAGTGATCGCTCTTGTGCATGTGTCTTTGACGAAATAAGCACGTGCGATAGCTGAACATGCGTGGACGTGGGGCATGGTCAATGGGCTATTGGAAACACGGGGCGGCATACCTCCAATCTCTGAGATAATATCCGTCCTCTAAAGCCGAACTGATCAGTCTTTACCCTAAGAGCCTGGACGCCACCGATTGATTAATAATAAGTAGTTGTGTGCTGTTCAGAGACTGCAATGACTAGGCTCGAAAAAGCAAACTGCTACTAATCCACTGAATTCGAGTTAAAATCTTGGGCATGCCAGATCATGGTGTCGGTGCTAGGATCGGCCGATAACGGTTAATAAACCAGAAACGCCTAACCACTGTATTTAACTTATATCGGCAGTTCTTCTAGAAATGGAGGGAGGTTAGGAAATAAAACACGCGCGATAACGCCAGGCGCAGAGCCCTAGTTGTGCACTTTGCAGAAAATTTTCTCAAACTTTGGACATGTTAAGGCTTATTTAGGACCAGATTGAAGTACCGCACACATTTGGAGCGCCTGGTGGGCATCTTAGCAGTTTCCACAGGGAAGACTAGAAATCGCGATGCAGAAGTCCTTATTCGAATCAGCTTACCATGATGTGATCAACTGGGCTCCTAAAAAATGCTCATGACATCGTCTAACGTACTGTTTAAATAATACGTACAAATATACGTATCGTGCATTATTGAGAACCTTTATTTACCAGATCATGTATTTTCAAACACATTCCAATGATGCACATTTGGTCAAAGTTGATTTCATTTTCCGGGTATACCAATTAACGAGGCACGTGCTAGAGATAAAAAGGCCGAGTGTTCGCAGAAATTCGCGAACCATCGAAGAATCCGAAATAAATATTTAGAAATGTTTGTATAGGAAATCCGCCAAAGAGTGAAGCCGCTAAAGGTAAAGCGCGATATAGCGGCGGATTACCTTAGTGCGACCAGTGCCTGAGTAATCCTTCCTAACAGAAAATGAATTCCAGTTATTTCGGCTTAGATTTCGTGAGATGAGTCACTATCTGCCAGCCAGTACTACTGGGTCCTAATGATGTTTGTTGCATTAAACGAGGGACGGTGTTCTGAAGAGTTCTGTGCCGCATTAGCCGAGAGATTTTTTGTTCAGTTACAGCGTACACGACCGTGAGTACCTAGATGCGCGCGTGTCCGAACTGAAATTAGCTAAGGGTGAAGTGTTCTAGATATGATTGAGTCCCGAAACATGTAATATGATCAGTGACCAATGATCGCAGTCGGCCAGAACTGCCGGGAAGCGGGGCAAGGTCACCACAGACCCATCCTGATTGTTGGACTGAGTAGGGGCGTCCATGTTTGTCCTGGTGATCCGAGCTGGAAGCCACACAGGCAGTCGCGAAGACAATAACATGGGCGCCAGGCTCCATTGACTTAAGAAGAAGACGATCGCTGGGACACTAAGTGATGTGGCCTGAAGTTTAGTGCTGGGGGCACAAGGAGTGCAGTGTTTATCGGACCAGTTTCCATCCTACCATATGCCTACTGTGATTGGCGGAGCCTCCGTTCAGCGCTGCGGATCGTATTTGAGTCCGTAATTGCCGTAGGCTCTCCATTTTTAGATCGTTGGTAATAGTTCAACGTCCTCCCACACCTTTACGGGATATTATTTTAAATTTGTTACTTCTTTCTGCCTGACGGGCATGGATGACTTGCTACCTTCTTGCAGCGATCTGTGACTCCTGTCCGCCCACGATCCAATCTACTGTCACTGTTCCTTAGAAAAAATGAAACACGTCTGTTTGGCTGCCTTATTACCTACCTATGACAGGGAGAAAATTTAGTACTGGTATAAGAATTGGAACTACGCCAATCATCTCACGCCTAAACAAAAATGTAGTTAAGAATTAAATTAAATTATATTAAGCTACCTAACTAAAATAAGTAATCGTTCTACGGCAATAAATAACGAGGGCTTGGATATTCAAAGCCGAGCATTAAGTATTTTCCTCTCTACAGTGAGAAGTTGGAGTATTTCTGGTAGGCAGCTCTACTCAGTCATCTTTTTGTGCATTTTTAGTCGTGGGCTTTGCGACCAACCTCCAATCTTGTCAGAGTCTGAATTTCAACTACCATCCCCCTATTTCTACCACGACATTCTACCCCTTCATCTCCCAACGAGGCCTTCCGATTCCCTTCTCTCGCCCAATTTCCATGCAGAATCGACGGCAAGTGTGTACACCACCACGTGTGTTCCATCAAGGACTGACGATGATCCCTTTTTGTCAGGGCAAACGCCGTCCGACACGTGGCTTCCCCCAGGATGCCTGACCCAGGCAGAACATGGTCCCCAGTTCGACTTCAGTCAACCCTCGCAGTACGACCTGCAAAGGCATAAAGTCCTTACCCATACGCAGCTCGGAGGACCACCCTAGAACAAGGGGCCTGCGGATCCAGATTGCTGTAACAGTGTTCTTCAACAACAAGGGCGAGGAAACAGTACTCTTCTCAATGCTCCACTAAAAGTTTGGAGCCTCCATGTAAAGTGCCAGTCGAAAAGATAAGCCTGAGAAATAAATGGATAGCTGACTAGTATTAAAAGAACTGACTTCATACGCGTACGCTACATTCCGACGTGTAAAATAGAGGTTGTCCTGCGAAGGTTGCATAGACTGCATGAGAAAAACATCGCAAGAACGAAATTTTCCCGAAAGAATATGTTGCACGCTGTTACCAGTCAAGCCAGAAACAGGAACGACTTTACTGACATTTGTAACCATGGTGTTTAATTGAAAGATGTCGCAAAGTAACTCCCACCTACGAACGCTGCCAGAAGGTCTTAGTTAAATTGTTACTACTACCGCTCTCCCGCAGAAGCACTGAGCTCTTATATTACTGGCCCTAGGGGGCTGCAAGTCCTGTTTTGTGCAGGTGTTCAGCTGAAGGAATCTGATAGTGCTAAAGTGACCTGCTGGCCTGACGACTAAGTGCACCTTCCCAAGTCGAACGTCGGACGTCGAAATCTCCAAGGACAGTCAGCCCGTTTATGTCCGGTTGAAATTTAAGGAGAGTGTTCTGGTCTTCATGGAACTTCTTCATTGTTTTGCCATCCCGTGTTACCAAGTGTAAAGACGTGGGCGCAGAAAATGTTACCCATTTTCTTTCCGCAGACATGAAGTTTTATGTAGACGGGAGGTCTTGAAGTTAATGTTGGAATAATACAGCTTCCTGACTGGGTTGTTTATGATGGCGATAGTGACCGTGGTACCTTGGTAACACCCCATATGACTGCCAGTCCTGGAGAAAGTATTGTCATTGCCGGCCTCATTTATCTATCCTATGAGGGCAAGAACATTTATATTGAAATAAGTCAGATGTTTCCCGACCAGACCTGTTTAGCCCTCTAACTTAGATTGTCATTAGATTACTTAGGAGAGAACGGTCGTTCCAGGTTGATAGAGTGAGCAAAGTCACCCTGGTGAGAGTGTTAGGTAGGTGGAGGCCAGGTGGCCGTTTCATACGACGTCCAAAAGTCGCGGTCGGTTTGCAGAAGGCGTACCAGCACTTCTTCGGGTCACATTTTGCAGTCCGATCCCCTGCGGGGAGTAAGAAGTGTTTCCGAGATTAGGGTTTTTTTTCGTCACAGGCAGCTGCTCGCTTGAATCATGAATCAAGAGTTAAGCGCATTGAGATGAAAAATCGAACTACCCTGGGTCATTCATGAAAGTGAATGCAACCCGCTTCACAGAAGAGTTAAAGTTTGGAATAACAAGTATCTAGGGGTCGGGAACTCTAATTACCTAGGCATATCAACTCTTTTTAGGCGTACCGTGAGACATCTTGCTCATCTGTACTGACTGAAGCAGTCTTCACACTCAGAGCTTCATAATGCAGTAGATCTCACCGGCCACCGACATCTGGTGTAATGACCAGTCAGAGAGATTGCTGAGGTTTGGTGACTGCGCAAAATACTGTTTCACATAAGCAGAGATGGGGGGGGGGGTGAGTGCCATTAAGGGTGGGATGTGCACTAGGGCCCTTGGGGTCACCCATCACTCCTACGTGTTAAACTCAATAAATAAACGCCTAGAACATACGGGGTACTTGTTGATGCAGGAGTAGGCGCACACAAATTCATTCCGTCATTCGGTGGGTCCCGCGCCATCTATTCCTATTAGCAAGGTCTGTGTGAATCTTCGACAGCGATTCCGGCTCCTGTGTCATCCTGCAACCAGCAAAATAACCGTTGAACAATCTACCTCTGTTCAGCATCAAGAATCTCATTTCTGGGCTGGGGCAGACTATAGAGGCTAGGGCCGCAGACCTCTCAAAAACAATTTTTGCGCTTTGAAAGCTGCAGAGCGTGAGTTTTCGATCGACGCACTGGCATTACAGGTGCAAATACTGCGGAACATGGTATGTTGTCATAGCGGATATGGCAGAGATGGCCGTTTAAGAGGGGGATTATAAAAATGTCGTCCGTGTCTGTGGCGCAACGGCGAATGAACTTAAATTCCCCAAATCCGTGAATGTCTCTAACTAGTTTCCTCAGGAGGGGGGAAATTGTTCTAAGGACGAGTGCACATATTATTCTGATATTAAATGCATAGTGTGAGGATAAACAGCAGTATGCTTTCGTAACTTTTAACACTGTTTTGCCTTTCTAACTATTTTATAAGATAACTTGCGGCAGAGGGCCTGTTCTAGTAACGCCCAAGAAAAAACATAACTTCCAGCAGCAGAACCATGGCGATCTAATAGTTGCATCGGAAAATATCAAATTCAATCGCAAAACTGTGACTTTTAACCAAATATTTTTTGATGATGAGCAGGTTAAAGGGAGCGCACCACTAAAATTAATACATGCGTTTTCATTTCGCCAGCTTCATTCGATTCTTTGGCCTCACTTTTAAAAAAAGATCTGCAAACTACTTTTTTTATATCTGTAGTTCTCGTCCTTTTCATGCCTTTTTGGCAGGAAAGGCTCAAAACATGGTGAAAATTGGAGGACAGTAGAATGTATTTAAGCAGCATGAAACATATTGTAACACGTAAGAACAGAAGCCCATGAAGGATGCAAATATACTGGGCAAATGAAGAACGTGATACGACGGCAAAACTGATAACTCTATAAACAAAGCAACAGACAGCATTATGTAAAGAGAATAACACACTCCCGCCCGGTGTATGTCAGGAGATGATCGATGACAGCACGGGGCGGTGAATCTATCGGCAGTAGGATTGGTTATTCGCGGCAACACTCTATCCGTGCTTCACAGTTAGGGAGAGAGTAATAAGGAAATTTCGATTTAGATAACTCGTAATTCGAGTTGCACCCTCCATATATTATAAACATAATATTTGATTTAAAGCTGATTCCATGAAATCAATCACTTTTCCTCAAATCTATGCAGTGTGTTGGAGTATCCCATCAAATAACAGCAGCATAATGCACCTTCTGAAGCACTTGTAGGTCAAACATGCATGCTTTACTGCCTACCCACCCCTGTCTGCAACCAATAGATGAATGATTCAACAGCTACGCCGGGAACGGTCTCCTTGGAATATCAACAATCAGATGATTAATTTGAGGCGAGCCATAGAACACAGGGTCGAAACGGCCCTACGAAAACAGTTTTTTGACGCCAGAGAGAAGAACACAAAGGACTCACCGATCGAAGCAGCAACAGTGGGGGCGCAGAAATGACGAAAGATTATGTTTTGCCAAAATATGGTGAACCTTGCAATTTGCGAAAAGAATACGGAAAGGCCTCTGCTTTGAGTGTAGGGCAGCAGGAAAAAAAAGATAAATTACCAAAGGTCTTCAATGTTTTTAGGCAATTCAATACAGTAGATAGATTTTGTCAGAGAACGCAGAGCATTGCGTATGCGAGTGCAGTCAACTGTGCGCCTTCGCTATAGTATCAGTATCAGATCCAGTTTTCCAATGTTACCCGCATTGCAGATAATGTGGTCAACTTCCGTCTAAGAAGTTACTTTACTCACTGCTACCCAACCAAAACTGCCTGCAGATTTCATGTCAAAGTGTAGATGCAATTTAGGATTCAACCGTCAGGCGTACTCTATGAGTGCACCCACCAACGCCCCTTAAATTTCCCTAGGCTAGAAATGCTCAGTATCCAATCATTATTTGACTGGCTCTTATTTCGTAGTCGTATCTGAAGTAGACAAGCCCCAGCCTAACCCATACCCTTACCCTTGATATCTAACAGGTACGACTACGAAATGAGACCTTGCCCATTATTTTAGTAAACATCAGTCCCAAGCGGAACAGAAGATCGTCTGAACAGAGCATATTGTATTTATCAGTGTGACTCAGATTTAGAGATCGCTTTTGACCAATAAAGAGATGCAGTATAGCAAAAGGTCTCCTTCGACATTGCGGTCTAAATTGGATGCAGAAAAATACTGAAAGTACGCAGTTAAAGTACCCTGTTGAAAGTTTCATTTTAAAGATGATCACTATACGCATTTCGGGTACGTGAAATTCCAGGAAATGCGCACTAACCTCCACAGTCAAAATCGTGCACATGACGAAAGCCTGAATTGCGACGAATCACAAAAGGCTCTGGATAAGCAGAAATGAAATCGGCTTTCTTGGGTGATTCACGCACTTGGCGCATCAACTTAATGATGGTTTGATGCCACGCGTCACGAACAACGGAAAAGTCCTTAGAGTAGTTAAAGCGACCACTGGAGTAGAGCAGGATTGCGTACTCCCTCCCATCTCTTCCATTCTCCTGTTTTCTGCCATGCAGATGGACGCCTAACGCGGTGCACCGACTGGGCTAAGCATCAACCAACTTGTCAATGCCCGACGCCTGCAGGCACCAAAGCGTCTCTCCATGGCTAGTGTCCACGACCTGCTATTCGCGGACAGATGTGGATATGCAACGGAGCATGAGTCTCTTCGCCGTCAGTCGTAAACACGTTGGGCTAACCACCAGTATAGGTAAAACTGTGATCGTGCATTAGCCGTCAACCGATACGGATTACAACGGCCCTTGCATCACTGTAAACGGCATATAGCGCAAAAGGGGGGAAAACGTCGTCTGTTTAAGCATTACAGCCTCGTGAAGCGCGAAAATGGATGATGGAGTTGTGAACCGGATCTCCGAAGCCCGCCACGCCCTCGGCCGGATGCAGGTCTCCGTTTCGAATCGTCATCGTCTTAATATCAACACAGTACTCAAGGTGTACAAACGTGTCATCTTGACAACTCTGCTGTACTGGACGGAGACCTGGACAGTGTATAATAAATAAGCTAGGGATCTCATTTGCTTTCTCAAAAAGTCCTCTAGAGAATAGTGAAGCCTTGATTGCAAGACTGGATCCTAGATACGGAACTACTCGATAGGACCCAGGTCCTCTGCATTCGCGACCCGCTGAGGCAACTACAGCTGCAAACGAGACG